TTAAATAAACGCCTTGATTTATCAGGTCCTTTCAAAGCATCACTTACCTGAAAGTTAAATCAATATTTATCCAAAATTACCACAGAGCCAGAGCACCAGCAGAGCATTGAACCCAAATGAAATTTAACGAAAATGCAAATGCAGCGATGGGAGCAAAATAATGTGAAAATAAAAGGAGAGGTGATGGTAAAAACTAAATTAATAAAAGATGGAAGATATTGGCATGGCGGCCATGTTGGGGGTGACTAGTTTGGTCCATTCACCTTATCGTTATCATTGGAAAAGCTATCAGCCTCCCTTTCCCAGGACGAACTGTTATCAGTGCCAAACGGTGCAGCCAGAGGCAGGCTGCCCCCCTTCATCTGGCTGTTGGGAGACGTTGCTTTGCTTCCACTGTAAGCAGAAAACCACGGTGACATACGATGTGAAATTACTGCTCGCAACTCATCACACGGTGGGAAACTTTTTTAAATGCTCTACGCTGCATCAAGAAGCATTTTTACAACTCCAGCTGGCTCATGAAAAAAAAAAAGATAGATCGTCAGACAATCAATTTCATGTCTTTTCCTTGAGGACTAGTTCTACAGACAAACACTTAACTCTCTTCCTCCAGCACAAACCCATCGTCTGAACATGAGGCAACGCATCCTCATCATTTCTTATTTCAGTGTCTTCTTACCTCTTTGACTCATTGTCTCCAAACCAGCTGGCTGGATTGTAGGTTTTTTTTGGTATATCATCAGCTTCAACATCATCATGACTCAACAGGCCTGCAGGGGGGGAGAAAGATATAATCTCATCTTTGAAAGCACAATGTGACATGTAACAATTACTACTACAGAAGTGTGAAAATGTTAACAAAATTTAAGAAACTATAAAAGCCAATGCACCAGGTAATAATTAGGATTTTTATGAAAAATCTAAAACTTGAATCTGAAACTGCCCAACAACCCTTACTCAAACATGCAAATGATCATATTTACACATATTTCAAGTATTAAGTATCCTTTACCCCTGTGTCCTCCCTGCTTCGCAAGCTTGACGTAGTCCGAGTCGGACTCAAATATCCCAACTCGCCGTCCGCTGGTCCTCTCTGCCGGAGTGCTTTCGTCAGCACTCTGGGACAGTCCGGGAATCTGGGAGGTCGGCCCAGTCACACCGCTGATTACGGCCCCAGGCTTTATGCCTGCAATGAACTAAGAATTACATCTGCTTGCTCTGCTAGTATACCTGGCTCCATTTGTAAGCAAAGTGATGGTTCAAGGCCACAGTACAAAGCTTGCACTTTATGGTTCAGGTGATGGAACCACACAAAGTATAAATACATTAAAATATTTGTTTAATGAAATTGTTGACAACTTACCTCCAGGCTTGGTCCTTCTGTGGTTGGGCAGGACGGTGCTCATTTCAGCTGTGGACACAAAATAAAAGTGTTAAACTGAATAAATGAT